TTTCCATATGTTCTTTGAATATGATAACATTACTGTATTTTTAAAAAAAGGAATTAGCAGATTCTGAGGATGTCTGGTGGGTAATTGTTGTTATTTTGTATTGTTCATTGTGGAGCATATATGACACCAGTACTTTATCTTTTTGTTTTCAGGCACATCTTTCTTGGCTTCACCAAATGTGGACGCTACGTTCTGTCTTACACCAGTGATTGTGGAGAAGATGATGATTTCTCTTTCTATACTTATCATCTTTATTGGTGGGAGTTTAACCTGCACAGCAGACTCAAGCAGGTAAAAAAAAAATCTAATTGTAATATATAAATATAATTGTAGAATTTATTTTTATTTTCTTTAACTCCTTTGGTTTCTCTTTAGGTCCATCATGTGCGACTGTTTGCAGGAGAGGAAATCTACAGTGACCTGTACCTTACAGTATGTGAGTGGCCAAATGATCACTCCAAAATTGTCATCTTCGGCTTCAAGTAAGGAATGATAATTATTTTTATGAATGGCAAAAATAACCTTATTGCAAGCCACAGGTAGTGATGGCTAAATTATGTGTTGGTGTGTATGTTTCTGCTAAGTACACGCAGCTCCAACTCAGTCCTGATGAATCTAATGATGAGTGATGAGAACAATAGAGACATCTACATCACCATCGCCTCCATGCCACCTCCTAAACCTTGTGCTCAGTGCTGTCCTGTTCCTTCAGTCACTACTATACGCACAGGTTAACAAAAACACATACAGAGCTACTACTTCACCACTCTCATTACGTTTTCCTCTCTCACTCTCATCAGACATTATCACTTTTTTTCCACAGGAAGTGGTGAGTGTCTTGAACACGGATATGTGCTCAACAGCAGGTACCAGGTGGTATATCCGTTCCCCACTTTTCAGCCAGCTTTCCAGCTTAAGAAGGACCAGGTCATTCTGTTAAACACTAGCTACTCTCTTGTAGCCTGTGGCATCTCACTCTGCCCAGGTAAGACACGCACAAATAGTAAAATTGCCACATTTCTCATTTCTTTATAATGCGTCAGATAAGATTTTTATGGATTTAAGATCACCACATTATGAATTTCCTTATCAATGAGTCCACAAGGGTTTACGCAGCTGAAAACTTCAGACCACCCAGACTCTGCAGACTGTGCACATACACAGACTGGTAATATAATGGATGCAGTTTCTGAGCATAAAAGAGAAAGGCAGTGTTGGAAGATCCTCAATTCTGCATTCATTCTGTTTGCCAGCAGGCAAGTGATTTTGCACTGGTTGCAAAATCACTTACGATTGCAAATAGGGAAAT